ATAAATACTCGGATCAAATGGACTCGACTCGAGCTTGGACTCGACTCGAGTTCTTAACGAGCTGAAACGAGCTACTCGATATTCGAATCGAAAAACTCGTGAGCAGCTCGAAAATATAATATATTAAGATTTTATTTTAAAAAATAAATTAATAATAATATTAATATTTATGTATTGATTTTTTAAAAAAAAATACAATAAGATTTCATGTATTTAAGGTTCATGTTCGAGTTTGAGTTTGAGGCTTTAATCGAGTTAAGTTTAAGAATTTTTTTTTTCATTTCGAGCCTTTTCGAGCTGCTCACGAGCTTCAGTTCAGGATTTCGAGTTCGAGTCGAGCTTGAAAATTTTAAGCTCGCGAGTTTTCGAGTCGAGTCGAGCTTCATTTCAGAGTTTTTGAGTCGAGTCGAGCTCAGTAATACTCGAGCTCGACTCGGCTCGTTTACACCTCTAGGCTCAACCACTTAGTTAATTTTCCTTTTTCGTCTAAGGTATATGATATATATTATGTACTATTTTGTAAATTCTTAATATTTTATATATATATTAATTTAAACTCACATACTAAATTAAATTCACATCTTAACATTAAAAGATATATATTATTTTCATCTTAATGTATTAAATATTTTTATTTTTATTTAAACTGTGTTTTAATCTTATTTTAACTTAAAATATATATATTATTCTTATATTAACTTTTAAAAATATATCTTAAATTAAAATAAAAGTAAAATATATTTTTAAACTAAAATAAGAGTTAAATATATCTTAAATTAAAATAAAAGTAAAATATATATATCTCATAAATTAAGATAAAAATAAAATAATTTTTAAACTAAAATAAGAGTAAAATATATTTTTAAATTAAAATAAGAATAAAATATATTTAATAAGTTAAGGTAAAATATATTTACCAATATGGATTGGTTCAAATAGTAAGCAGTTTGATATCGCTTAAGCAATGTCTCAAATTCGAGTTCTTGCATATGTAAAAAATCTCTGTTGAGAGACTCAATCACCAAAGCCAGGTGTGCAACCGAGTTGGTCCATATTAATTAGGACGAAGCCTTGGAACTAAAGGACAATAAAAAAGATAAACTATATTTTTAAGTTTTAATATGTGAATTTAACTAAAATATATTTTTAAAAATTAAAATAAGAATAAAATATATTTTATAAAACATATGTTTTGGAAGTTACAAAATAGCCATTAAACCTCCCAACAATTACAAAACTGTCATTAAAATTCCCTAAAGGTTACAAAATTGTCATTACAATGTATCAAACTATTATAAATACTTATTAAATTTATCAAACTATTATAAAACGGTCCTTAAACTTATCAAAATTCATCATTATTTTATAATAGTTAGTTATCATTTATAACAGTTTGATAAGTTTAATAATAACTATTTTATAACCAAAATGATCATTTAATATAATTTAGTGAATACACTTTACCTAAACACATTTAAGCCCAAGGTAAACGAGATATGTACCCGTAGGTTATTCGAGCCGATCTCTTGAATTGGCTTATGTATGATTTAGCACCTAAATTAGGGAAAAGGGAGGAAGGACAACAACCAACTAACAAAGGAAATACAGATGACCGAGAAGGGTTATGGCCTCTCGGTCGTGGTTCAAAACCAAAATAGCTTCCACGTTTGACAACCTCTAAACCACATTGAGCAGTACCTCCACAGTGGCCAATTTCACCCAACAACCATTACTTGAATCTTAGTTCAACACATATCAACCATAGTCTTCCTCACCGAGTCGTCATCACCCCCTTCCTCTACCATGGCACTCGGGAGCTCACCACGGCAGCTATGTCTCACTCGACTATGTGAAAATTGTCACGTAACTCGAAAGCAATATCTTTACCAGCCAACATCATCCATGCACATCAAAGCCATTACTCAATTTCCTTATTTATTCATTCATTCATTCACCTAGACCCGAAATAATCCGAATTTGAGCACAAACGACTACCCTCAGCAGCAGCTGACGACTGCACGATGGCCGGCAAGTGATGAGTACTGGGAGAGCACAAAAACGAAGAGGAATGAAAAACTTGAAAGAAATGAAAGGAGTTCCCTACGGCAGCATCGAAATAAACTGTTTTGCCTTTGGAGACCATCAATTCCCTCACCCGAGCTAGAGTGAATTCAAATTCATTTGTTTTAGTAATTTATGGGTAAACTCACTTTTCAGTCCTTCACCTTTGTGTGTAATTCTTTTGAGCCCTAACTTGCATGATTTTTTCCCGTTTTGACCATTTATTTTCTATTTCGTTTAATTTGATCCTGAATTAGAATGTGTTAATTAGTTTGACCTTAGTTTCAAGATTAATTTCAATTAGGCCCTAATTAGAGGTTAATTGATTAGGTTCAATTTGATCCTTAATTGATATTTGACATAAATTTATAAATCACTTTAATTTGTTTTATATTTTGTAATGGATTAATAAATTTGACTTTAACTTCTTAATTGATTTTGTTTGTGTTCATAATTTGAAAATTGATTAATAAATCTTGGCCTATTTTTTATTTAATTTAGTTTAATCCATAAATTTAGGGTGATTATCAATGTGACTCAAAATTCTTAATTAATTCCATGTCAGATCATGATTAGAAATAGATTAAAAATATTTCTTTGGTTTCTTTCTTAATTATCCTGATTATTTATTAATTTATTTTGAACATATGGCTAATTAATTCTGTTTTTTTCATGCAGTATTTCTTATTTTCAAAAAAAAAAACATTTCACGAAAATTGTTTTTTTAATTGAGGCAATGTGATTTTGTTATGTTTGCAAGAAGTGCTAGTATCCTAAGTAATTGGATTGTGACCTTTTTAATTGTATATAAAAGGTGACATCTTTTTAAATAACGTGGGTCTCCTCATAAATTATTGCTTTTAAACGAGGTCTACTATATTTCTTTAAAATAAGCTATATTCGTATTGGTAATTCTTGTAAAAATAAACTTCATGTATTTTTTTTATCCTCTTCACACGTAACCGACTCTCCAATTTAAAGGTATTTGGTCGTACCTAGCCTAAAACGATTGATGGCAACTTCCTTTTTCAAAACATAAATATTTTTATGACTATTTTCGAACCACCCAAAAATGATTTCGACATGAGTATTTGATTGTTTTCGAGCTGAAATATTAAATTAGTCGAATTTATATGTATCATTTTATCATTCGAACTTTATTTAAAAATAAAGTCAAATTGAATTTATGAAATTTAGTTCGAATATGATATATTTGTTTTAGTATTTATTCAAATTTATAAACATAATTATTTTATAATATAATAGTACTAATTGATTTCAATTTTCGTCATATAATTTGTTTGCATGTATAAGTAAGATTTCTAATGTTATTTAATAAATCAAATATCATTTAAAATTACACAGTACAATTATAATGTTATTTTTAAAGAGATTTTAATAATGAAGTATTAATTAGAGTATAAATGAGTCACATAATTAGTAGGAAGAATGAAATGTGCAAAGAGTTACAATCGAATAATCAAATTGAATAAAATACAAAATTAACGGACAAAATGAAAAAAGATAATGTATTTTTCAAAAGACTTAAGTATACAAAAGTGACTAACATATGAATGTTTTTTCAGTTTAGAACATATCATTTATTAATTTTTTTTAATTTGGTACTTAACATCTCATTCCGTTACTTAAAATGGGTCAAGTTGTGACGGACTATTAAATTTGGTCGTTAACCATTAAAAATGTCACATGACATATTTTTTAATATCAAAAAATGATTTTTAAAAATAAGAAATTATTTCGTTTCAATTTGATACCTAACTTTTGTTTTATTTCAAGTTTGGTACCTATAGTCTCTTTCCCTCTCTTTCCCTTCTCCACCAGTATAGAATCGGCGGTGCTGTTTGGATGAGAGGGGCTTGGTTGTCTTGAGATCTACAATTTGAGGTATCGACTCAAATTTGAAAACACTAACATTCTTTGGCTGGAATCCGGGGAAATCGGGAGAAATTTTGAAGAAATCATCTTCTTCAAGGCAAGTAAAACTAGCTTCGGTGAGAGAGGAACCACAGCTCGAAGTTTGCGAGTAGAGAGATTCAGGTTTCGAGGTAGAAACTTGAGGTTTCGCCTCAGTTGTCCATTGATTTTCATTGGAAAACTTGCACAATCCCATTGGAGAAAGTTCATCAAGTAATGTTTGATATATTGAAGCGCACTCGATACTTCACTGCTTGTTTCCGTAACCAATAAATTGAAAATAATACAAAAAATTAGAGAAAAGAGGTGAAGGGTTTGAATCAAAGAAGATATGATTTTCAGTTTTCTAGGCTGAGAGTGGAAAGGATATTCGACTTGTCAATGAAGAAGAAGATTTGATTCCCGCCGTCCTCGCGTTTAACTCCATAGCAAAACGATCAACAACAACAACAAAGCGACCCAAATTCAATATTCTCAGAAAAACCCAGTTCAACTCCTTGAAAATAAGAAGCACCCACTAGCTTAATCAACCCAAATTTAAGTCTCAACAGCTTCCAGAAAAAAAAAAGCTAAAGCTTTATTATGGTTCATCAATGGCGGTCGGGTCAAGCTAACAAAAACTGAATAAGGTTTAATTTTTCATTTTAATTAATTTTTCATTTTTAGAAATCATTTTCTAATATAAAAAAATATGTCAGGTGACACTTTAATGGATTAATGACTAAACTTAACGATCCATCATGACATTGATTTATTTTGAGTATCGTTAAATATCAAACTGAAATAAAATAAAAGTTAGACACTAAACTGAAAAAACGGATATAAGTGGACACTTTTTGTATACTTGAGAAAGATGAATTGAAGTAAACGAGGGACACACTTCAAATTCGATGGAAAATGAAGAGAGAGAAAATCTACAATATTGTCAATTAATGTAAAAAATGTTAATGAATAAAATCCAAGTTTCATAAAGAAGCAAAATTCATGGCGTCCACAGAAGGTGGTGAAAAATTAAAGAGAACAAGCAAAATTTAATGTTGTTCAGTCTACAACATTTTTGGCAGTAGAAAGAGTGGGATCTAACTACTTCCTTCAACTCTACAAGTTTCTCCCAACCACATACTAACATTCTCTGACCCACTATGTTATTGCACATCTTCAAACCAATATGAACCCTCCATTGTTCTTATTTTTTCTCCTTCCATAGACTCTACCCGTCGAGCTTATTTTCAGTTACAAGGTATGTTAGGCTGCTAACCATAAATGAACTTTAGGGGACGAATTTACTCGAAAATTACCTTGAAGTTGAAATTACTTGAGGTTTTGGTTAAATGGCTTGGTCAAGCACACACATTTGCCTTTGCACTTCGTCATTGTGTTAGCCGAGTGCCGCAAGAAAGAAGCAGTGGCAGCTGGTTCACTCTTGGATGGTCCCTTAGCTCACAATTGCCCGACTGGAAGAATTTTGGGCTTGTAATCTGTTTCAGAAATCCGGTATACCACTTGATCTAGAGGAATACTCGGTTACTAACTTCAGAAACATAGATGATTTATCCTCCAAGAGATGTGCCGGAGTATCAAACTCTGCAACTCGACCTGCAAAGAAGTTTCCGATTTATTTGGAAAATGTCCAAGACTTTCAACGAAAATAATAGTGAAGCAATCCGAATTTAGAGATGAAATTTTAAAGACATAGCTTTAAGTACCATCACTTAACACCAAAACAAAATCACTGTCGATTACGGTTGGAATACGGTGTGCAATAGTGCAAACAGTGCAGTTCATAAACTCTGTTCGGATGATCTTCTGTATGAGATTATCGGTGGCAGTATCAACTGATGCTGTTGCTTCATCAAGCACGAGTATTCTTGCCTGTTTGAGCAAAGCCCTGCCGAGGGAAACAAGTTGCCGCTGCCCCACACTCCAGTTATCTCCATTTTCTAAAACTGCACATTTTACATCAAAGAAAAAAGGACCTATCAACCACATTCAACTTCAAAGGGCTTTTCTGCCTTTTCTTTCTCTATGCATTTTTTTCCAGTTCAGATGATGCGTTAATTATGTCTAAGAGAGATGGTGCAAACCTGGTGCATCAAGCTTTTGGTCTTTCTCACGCACAATATCTCCGAGCTGAGACTTATCAAGAGCCTGTAGAGAAGAAAAATTCAGCTCTTGTCATTTGAACATGATCTTATTTCAAGACTTAGCATAGCATTAACATGTTAAAATTCGTAGTATGATTTATCAGTAACGACTCTTCCAAGGAACTAATAATCTTAGGAATAACTCTCTGCTTAAGTATACTGGTACTGTGTTTTTTGGGGGGGGGGGAGCAGGCTGTGCAAGTGAAATTTTTACCTCCCAAATTTCATGATCTGAATGCTCTTCAAGAGGATCAAGATTGTCTCTAATAGTTCCTTCAAATAATGTAGGGTCTTGGGGTATGATACCAAGACGGCTACGTAGGTCATGGAGCCCAATTGTGGAAATGTCAATGTTGTCTATAATGATTTTCCCACCAGCTGGCTCAATCAATCGAAATAATGCTTGGATCAAAGTAGATTTACCACTTCCAGTACGCCCAACAATTCCTATCTTTTTGCCACCAGGAAATGCACAGGTTACTCCATAAAGCACCACAGGAAGATTTTCAGCATAGCGAACCTTTGAAAGATAGAATATGTAAAAGAAAAGGAAATGTCAGCATGCGGTTCCAGTAATATTCTAACAGATAACATTCCATCCTTTTTCTCTGACATCGCTAAAACATAAAATCATTCTTTTTTTCATGGGTGTGAAGAGAATGATAAACAGAATCAAAATTTTCCAGCTAAGTCCATTCGCATGCTATTCATACGTTGCACAGTTTCCACATGATGTTGCTAGTAATGTGAAAGATCTTAACATAGAAACAGTAAGGTATATGTGACTCTCTAATGTTTCATGGAAAAATAAGTAGTGCCTGGTGTGGTGGAAAACAACTAGACGATACCTTTAAATCATGCAATTCAATTGTTCCATGTTCCGGCCACAAAGACGGAGGGCGGGAGTTTTCAATAACAGAAGAAGCTTCACTTGGAATTTGGCTGTACTGATAAATCCTCTCTATGGAAATAATTTTATTCTCGAGCTTGCAAAAACTAAGTATCCACCGTGATAACCGTGCATTCAAGTTTAGGCCATATGTCACAGCAAGCCCTGCCATACCTGTTTAGAAGAAGCAAGAGTTATCAGTTAGGGCATATGCAATAACTCAAATGTCTTACAAAAAAGCAGATAAATCAATAGTAATGCAAAAGATTAACTTACTCGGATCAATACTTCCTTGTGGGAAACTCACAAGCAAGATCATGCAAAAAGCAAATACAAAGGTCGAAAGTAATTCCATCCTCAGGCAGAGCCACTCAATAGCAGCAAGACTGCAAAAGAATGGGCGGGAGAAACAATCAAGAAGATAAAGATTTCTCTTCATGAACCTTTTCTCTTGCCCAAAACCTCTAATCGTGGCCGCTCCAGCAATTGATTCACCAAACAGATTAATAACTGGAGATTTCTGAATGCTAACAATACGGACCAGTTCTCTCGATGAAGCCATGTAGTATTTCTGCAACCAGCAATATGTGAGCAATTCATCAGAAGAAACATGTGTTTCCAGAGAAACTACACAACAGTTCAGAAATTATGAAGTGTATATTGAATTCATCAACAAAAATCAGAAGGGTCTAACGTAGATTAATGAAATCGATGCAGTGGTATGGGCAGAACTTTTTCAACTCCAACTGCAAGAATCTTAAAATAAAGGCTTAAATACAAATTTGGCCCTTGAACTATGCTACCTATGTCCTGTTGGCCCTATTCTTTAATCGGTCAAGTTGACCTTCACTTTTAACTTTTTCAATTTATTGCATGATGTCGATATTGTTCACTTGGATGCAGACAAAGTTTGAACAAGAATAAAATTGTTAATTTAAAAGCTGGTGAAGAGCAACCTGGTTCACTCCCAGCAAGAATAAGAAAACTGGAATAAACTTAAAGAAACAAACTACGACTAATGTGCTTCCATTTCTCTCAGAACCTATGAGAGAATGGAATCCAACAACAAAATTTTGAGGAAAAATAACTACCTGCATCCACAAGCAAGCAACAGCCATTGGAATAACAAACAGCAGAACTTGCCAAGTAACTTTTGTCATCACACCAACAATTCCGACAAGTTGTATTGTTGTTGAAGCAAACCCACCGAGCCTAAAAGGAATATCAAGATCCACAACACTTTGATCAATAGACACCTGTGAGTTTACAAATCATGGTCATCACATAATCTGAATAAAAGAAAGTGGATTTCACAGAGCCAAAAGGAAGACTTTGCAATTTTAAGCATAGATTGTCAGGTGGAAATATATATCAAAAAGTACTTACACGATTTAAGATCCGCCCAGCTGGAGTTGAATCGAAAAAAGACATTGGGGCTCGAAACACACTTCTAAGCATATTGATAAACAATTTTTGTGCAGCTGCAAGACCAAATGTGGCTACCAGAACAGCCCTCATAAATATAAACCAAGAGCTCCCAAAAGCAAGGGCCATATAAACAACAAGGAGGACCATAGGTGTGACTTTAGCTTGATCTCCATCGGTCTGGGGGTTTGCCCATGCCATCCACCAATTACTAGCAATTTGAAGGAACTGGAATAATGTTTGCGCAAGAACAATAAGGGGTACCAAAAGGCCTTTATATGCAGCCGCCATATATGACAAGTACACCTTCATGCTGACTCTTCCTTTTACCCTTTCCTCTTCTTGAACAAGCTGATTTTTTCTCCGTTTTGCTTTCTTTTTCTCTCTAATTGCTTTTGTGTCTGAAGCTGATGCACCATCTTGCACTTCCTTTGCTAAATTGTCAATACTATTTCCAGCCAAATCACTTTTCTTTTTTAATATTTTTTTCCCATCAAGTTGCAAATTTTCATCCGAGTCTTCTGATGAGTGAGTTGGAATATCCATGGATTCAATTGCTTCATGGTGAGCGGAGACAAGAGTTTCAAAATCAGTGCCAGCCTGTAGAAGTTCATCATATTTTCCTGCCTGTATGATACGACCTTCCTTAAGAACCTGCACATATGATTGATGACATCGGAGAATAAGTATTTGAAATCACTCTCATCATATCACCACCTATAGCAAAAATAAATGTATATATATTACAGCTCTTATGCTAGACCCAGGAAAACATGACACCAAGCACTTGTATTGCACAAACATACACCCAAGAAGGCAAAGAACTATATTTGCAAATAACAGCTCATCTCCACCACCTTTATGTTTTATCTCCATGTGAAGAAAAAATTAGTCTCACATGCTAATTTTCAGATGTCAAAAGTAAAACTTATACTTCACTATTTATTTGGTCCATTGTCATGCATTAAGTTGCACCATGTTTCCTAATATTCCATCAGTACTGACTTTGTCATAGTATTGAAGACATTGTATCGTTATCCCGTATGGTGTTGCTTGTAGCGTGTCATTACCATCTAATTCATTAATTAGACCATTTTAATCCAGCCCACCTACTTCAGATCAGTCGATCACATTCAACAACCAACAATACTGCACAAGATAGTAGATAAAGAGAGGGGTATTGTGTTGGGCAGTTGAGGGGAGGCACATAGCCTTGAACAAAGATTAGTTTGGAAAAAAAATAATATATCTTTTTTCTCCAAAAAAGAAAAGGCAATGCTGAATGAAAAAGAACGCCTCAACAATGCAATCCACTATCTAAATGTTCAGCTAAAAAACTGTCTTCAGATCATAGAAGAAATATAAGAAAATGATGTGATGGGACATGAATTTTAGTATGCGTCATACATTCACCCCATTAGAAAGTAGTATACTTGAAGCATGCATCATAGCAATGCTGGACTACTAGCAGAATATAAATATATATACACATATAGAAACCATTACATACCAGTATCAAATCTGCAGTAGGTAGAAATTCAACTTGATGGGTCACAAAAACAACAGTCTTACTTGCCAGTGCTGTCATTATGTATTCCTGCAGTTTGAAAAAAGAAAGATTTATTCAGCCAAATTCTATTGATATGAATAGCAATACCAGTATACTGATTTGAGTTAAACCTTGAACAGTTCTGAGCTAGTGTGTGCATCAACGGCACTGAAGGGGTCATCAAGTAAATAAATATCAGCATTTTGATAAAGAGCCCTTGCAAGCTGCACGCGTTGTTTCTGTCCGCCACTCAGATTTATACCCCTATCTCCAATTATGGTCTGATCTCCATGTGAAAAGAGTTCAAAATCCTTCTTCAAGGTACAAGCATTAATAACACTCTTGTATTTTGCTTTATCCATTGGACTACCAAAAAGAACGTTCTCTTCAATATTTCCAGACTGTATCCAAGCCGACTGAGAGACATAGGCAGCTGTACCACACACTCGAACCTGTTCAAACATCAAAGTAAAAGGGTAACAGTTCAAAAAGCTTTTCCATTAATGGGGAAAATATCATAAAACTAACAAAGAACCAAATTTGAGGTAGAAATTTGTTTCTATGAACTACACTTACTTCCCCAGATATCTTAGGAATCTCCCCTAGAATGCATGAGAGAAAGCTTGATTTCCCAGATCCAACTGTGCCACAAACTGCCACACGCATTCCATTTTCTACTTTCATTTGTATTCCAGATAAGGTGGGCCTTGAAGAAGAGGGGTCCCAACAAAATTCACCATCCTTAATCTCTATGGCCACCTTTGACATGCCTCGGGGCAGAACAATGGTGGCATCTTCCTGCAGTTCTTCCTCCTGCAGGAAACCAGAAATTCGATCAATTGAAACCTTTGTCTGCGCCATCATAGACACCAGGTCTGGAAAATTTCTGAGTGGTTCTTGAAGGATTCTGAAAGTGGCCAGTGCAGAAAGAACACTGCCTGCTGTGAGTTGACCTCCCAACAATATTGATGTTGCAAATGTAACAGCTGCAACAAATATAGGGGAGCTCCAAAAAAATGAATGTAACAAAGGCCTGAGAATAGAGGGCTTTCCGTAGCCACATGAATTCCACTCCTCTCATCTCCTCCAATCCCACTCGGTACCTATCCTCCCATGCTTGTAATTTCAGAATCCTCATGTTCCTTAGACACTCAGAAGTCTTCCTCATTCTTTCATCTTTGGCAGCCATTAACTTGTCTTGATAATCTTCTTGGACCTTTGCAAGAGGAACAGTAGCAACAATGGATATAATGGTTGCAATCAATGTGGCAATGGAAGCAATTCCAACATTTTTATATAGGATCGCTAGAGCAAGAATTATTTGCAGTGGAAGCATCCAAATGTCATGCAGATACCAAGAATAGTCTCCCACTCTTTGAACATCAACTGCCATGTAATTAACAATTTCTCCACTGGTATGATTTTGTTTAGCTAAGCTTGACAGCTTCAGCCCCTTGCGGTATACCATTGCCGTTAGAGCTGATCTCACATGCATACCCAAAATGTCTACCCCGAGATACCACTGTCGGGTTGTCAATGTCTCTACGAGCTTCGCCGCAAAAAAGATTCCAGCCAGAACATAACCTTCATGATGGGAAAGTCTCCCGCCCTCCCAAATAATCAACAAAGTAACTAATCATGTATGGGCCGACATAGGAAACAAGAGTGTTCAACAGAGCAAATACACCATTACAAGCTGCTTCCTTCCAGAATGACTTCCAAAGTGCCCAAGCCAAAGAAGGTTGCTCTGACTGGCTTTCAGCCTTCAATTTTTCCCAATTAAAATTCAAAACCTTATAATTGCTCTTGGTTCGATCTTTTGGTGCAAGAAGAGGAATGTCCTTAAGCTCAAGCGGTCGTTTAGCACCAAGTGAAAGAAGTGGATTTAGCCAAGAAAGTGTGGCCAAGCTAAAGAGCCCAGCATTACTATAAGGAGTAACTTTAAGACACCCTGCCTCTTCTTCAAGAAGCAATGGCTCCGAAAGGTCAGAATTTCTACAAACTTGTATACCAGTCTCACCTCTAATTGCAACAAAACAAAGAAATGCAAGTGCCGGGGTTACGGCGAAATTGGCCAGTACATGAGAAGAAAAGTAGTTTGAACCATCAACTAAGAACGATTTCCCATCAACATACAAGGTACACAACCCAATCAAAAACGAAACAAACCACCATACCCTTAGCAACATTGGGAATCTCTCAGACACCTTAGATTTACAACGTAGAGCTGAAAAACTCAATACGAGCCAAGCTAAACCATTAGCAGCAGGCAAGGCAAGTTTAGACCAATCCACAGCTTTCCCATCAGTGGCGCCTCTTATCAAACCAAATCCATCAACTCCTAGCACCACGACTTGCACCAGAAGCACATAGAAACAACAAAATATGGACAATTTAAACCCAGCACCTACTATAACCTGCTGAACTTCTCCATCAACAGTAATGCTTCTCCTAATTGGGCTAGAATTTGCAACAGGATCATCCTTATGGAATCGAATTCTACCAGCACAAAGAGAAATCTGCCTTGCAGATATTATGAGAAGAAACACAAGGACAAGTGTTAAATTGATGCAAATGGAGGATAGTTCCAATATAGGTAAACCTTTAATTGTCCTCAAAAGGGAGAAACGTGGTGATTCTCCAGCAGATGATAAAGAAGAAGCTGTGATGCAATTGAGTAATAGACTAAAGAAGCCCATTGTTTAAAAAAGTGAGGGTTTCTTTGTGACGGATATAGGCCTGAGAAACGAGCTGAGTCGGTGGCTTTGTTGATGAATTAAACAAGAAGAGTGGTTAAATCGGGTGAAGGGGCATCTCACCATCTGAAACAATGACAAAGAAAGCAAACGACAAAAAAAACAGGGTTATTTGGAGGCAGAATTTGCAGATACGTTGCACATGAAAACAAACAGATTTTTATTTACACGCAAAACGAAGACATAAAACTGACGAAACAACGAAAACAAAAACAAAAAAACGATTGTTTTTATTCCATTTCTGCTCTGTTTCTCTTTCTTATCTCTACATGTCATCTTCACATAACACGAGTGAACAAATAAAGGATATCAAAAATCCAATTGAACGAAACCCAAATCAGAAACAAAAATTCTAATAAAACTGACCGGGTATTCTCTTCTTCTTCTTCTTCTCATGAAAATACAGATAGACAAAGGGAGCACCACTCATACATCAGCAATCGAAACTCCAAGTGAATGATCTTAAACGTGTACAATCTAGAGAGAAAAAAAACAAAGCTGTCAAATTATATCTACAGATTTATACGAGAGAAATAGAGGAAAGAGTGTAGTGTTTGGGTCTCTGTTTTGTGTAAGGAAGAATGTTAAAAGATCTTCAATACGTTGAGGGATCCCAAACAGCCCACATAGTACCTTTATATGGAAAGAGAGGATTAGATTTTAGGTCTTTCGTTGTTGTTCAATGTTGAGTTCTGAGAAATAAAGGTGCACTGCTTTTTCAATGTTTTGTTTGTTTTCACTTTACAGTTGTTTGAGGTGGTGCCATGTGATGTGGATTTCATCCTATGAATAATGAATTTGATTCATCTTCTCACTAATTACACCACTATTATTTGAACATAAAATTTATTCTTCTAATTATACTAAAAATCGAACAATGGATTTTAATTATTGATTAATTGAATTTTTATTTAAGAAAATCAAGATCAATTAAATCTTTTTAATCAAAATATTTACTAATTATACTGATTATGGTTAGTTAAGTTTACTGACGTTGCAGTTTTGAGGGATAGAAATTTAATAGCTAAATTACATGTTTAGTACTCAGTTGTTTATTTTGTTTTGATTATTTAATTATTTTTTTAAATTATATCTAACGTTTGATTTTAGTTTCTTTTGGTCATCTATCGCTAAAATGTTAACAAAAGTATTGATGTAGTATTTTTTAATGATAATATGATCTTATCTTATGATGTCATATTTAATTAAGATAAAAGAAATTAAATAATGATAATATTTAAAATGTTTTTTTAAAAACAATGAGATAATTAATTTCATAAATATAATTAAAAATGAAAAAACATTTAAGCTTTTATTTTCTTATTTTTATAGTAAAAATTAATAAAGAAATTGAAGACTAGTAATGGGATCGACCTGTAAAGCTATGATAGCCTGTTCGAGTGTTGTTTCTTTTTCATGTTGACTTCTAGGGATAAAAGTTGAGATAACTATAAATATGAGTATTAAATTTACATATAAATCTTGGTAAAAATATATAATATGGTATATAAATTTTAATTTTATATAATTATATAAATGAAATGGTTGGATTTTTACAGATTACTAAAATTATTATATATGTAGAATTGTTTTTATGTTTTCGTTTTACATATATAAATAATTATTAAAAAAAATTATATAAATGTATTTCTTCGAATGAATAAATGTTATGCCCCGTTAAAAATCATATGTACTTATTAGTCTTGTGTCTGACAACAATAGGAGGACCTTAGAGTACCTTGAATACGGGATATCCCAAAACTCTAAAAAGATATCAAGGAACGTCTTTATGGAAGGATCCCAAAGAGTTAAATATTGTAAAGTCACGATTAATAGACATAATTTTTTTAAATAAATTTACGTTATTTATCATAATCAATTTCACAGTCATCTTGTTTAACCTGTGAGTAATCATTATAACTCACGACTGACCTTTGAACTAACGATTCTTAATATAATCTCTCAAGCATGATCGAGACGGGATGATATGTTTATGAAACCATCTCATCTATATTATCATTTGTTGTACCTTTTTATAGAGGAAGAATATTTCGTCACATGCCAACAATCGGTTTTCGATACTATGATTTTTTTATTCAAACCAAAAGGGGTGAATCACGATTACGCAATTATATATTTCATAAGCAGTAATCAAAAAATTAAAAATATAATTAGATTAAAATAATTAAAATTATATATATATACTCAACATTTATTATCATATTATATTTTAATCAAAATTATTATGTAATTTTTAAATTTATTTAGGAAAAATTAGAGGGCATTTATTTATAATGAAAAAAATACATGCAGTGATGATTTACATGTGTATCATGGGATGTGAATGGCTTTTATGTTGGAAATCGTTTAGGAATAATAAATTTATAAAAGTATAATTGATAGCCACGTTCTAGATCTGTAATAAGATAACATTGACAACAACATTTGACAGTGAAAGTGTGCTTTTGTCTATTTATTTCCTCATAACTTTTAGTTAAATCAAAGAAATCTTTCTCTAATAACATTTTTTTTAAATTTTCTCATCATCAATAGTAATAATAAGTCCATCTCTCTCTCTCTCTCTCTCTCATACTATTATAAAAATTTTGTGATTATTATTGGTTGTTTTACAATTCTTTTTGATATTATATAAAAGTTAGGGTAAATTGTGTGTTTAGTACCTTAATTTATCAATTTTGATCCATTTTAATGTTTTTTTTTTCAAAATCATACCTAACATTAATTTTTGTTTTATTTTAATATCATGACCTTAAAAACTTAACGGATTAGGTGGTATAGCTCTGGTGGACAGATGGTCACGACCAATTTGAAAGGTGGACCACGAGAGAAAGACGAGTCGACCAATATAGTCTAGTTTCAGGCCCATCGGACGGTGGACCATCAAGATCAGATGATGTAGAAATTGAAGAGTTTATCGTTGATTTTGGGAGTTTTGAGGCGTTTCTCGGTGAAACGGGAGTAGAATCGTGTTAAAAGGGTCGAAAAGGTGCGGACTATAAAGTTTGAGCTTCATCAATCGAAGGATGCAACGACCAATGATTGTAGACGCGATGGTCGGCGAGTCCGTCTATTAAGTTTTTAATGACGGGTACTAAAATGAAACAAAATCTAAATATTATGTATGATTTTGAAAAAATAAAAGTTTATATACTAAAACGGACTACGACTGATAGCGATGTAGTTAACCCTAAACATTATTATAATTCGAATTCTATTATAATTTGATTGATAAAATTTATGGTGTTCTCTATTTGATGAGGAAATAAAATTAGAAGGAAAAAAAAACGAATATATGTAGTGGACGTAGAGACTCTCGAGTTGAAACATACATTTTGATCTATTTAATTCGTACAAAATTATATATATTTTTTTAATTTTTAACTAAAAGTAGGAATTTGGTTGAAATAGGTTCTAGACAATGAAACAGTTTAAGATATTATAAATACTTTTTTATTTTATAGTTTTATTACTATTATTTTCTTCTATATATTTATAACAATTACTAGTGTTGTTCTCTACCTTTTTACAATAATAAATGAACAAAGTTATATATAATTTATATTGTGACATTGGAAAGTCTTACGTGCGACAGTCTTAAACTATTAATTGCTTTAATTTTATAAATATTAGTGTATATAGATAAATTTGATAAGCATATCAAAACTCTTTTAAGGGGTTTTTCTTAAAATAAAAAAGCTTGGTATTTATGGTGCAGTTTTATAGTATTATTTTATTTGATGTAATGAAAGAAGAAGTAGCAATAGTCAAATAAATGGTCCACAGTTTGAAATATGAAACGTGAGGGCGTGTCCGTACGGTTGTCCTCACCCAGTTTGGGTTTTTTTTTCTCATTTAAATGACAAATTGCACCACGTTCCATTTTGGTCGGTAAGTTCATAGGGTTATTTTAGTCGATTTGTGCCCACTGAAAACTCATAAAGTATTACCATCGTGTGGTCCTCACCCAGTTGAAGTAAATATAATGTCTTACCATTTGAAGTTGCATTCAACTTTATCTTCAAGCTTATTAGGGTTGTTCTCTTGGTACATGCTTCGAGTTTTCCTCGTCTCTATTCGGAAGAATTTCAATCATTTGATAATAAATACTCAAATAGTATTGTCATACGATATGCTCAAACTTGAGATCTTCGATAATAATCATCCCTTTAATTATTGAGAAGAATTGATATGTACAATTTTCACCACTATAGTCAAGTAAAATAAGAAGAAATTTAAAAATCAGATTGAAATTTTCAATATTTAACTTGATACATTTAGAAACAACCTTGGATTTTTTACTTATAAAAGAATTTAAGGTTATTTTCAATATTTAACGTGCTCTAAACGTATAGGTAAAAAATCAATATTTAACATGCGACATTTTAAACTTGAGATCTCTAAGCACCTTTTTTTTAAATATTTTTTTATTTGTCCATATAAAAATTTAATTAATAATATTATTAGTGTACGTTAATTAGTCTTAAACATGTGACATTTTAATGCAAATCCGATCCTAGTAAGATTGTTCTAAGAAGAACGTGTACTTAAAAAAAATCAACAACTATCAATTAACAGTGTTATTAATGGAAGAATACAATGCCTTTGTGTACCAAGTCGAACCGAACGCCGAGGATTTTGATTTAATTTGATTTTATAATATTTAACTTTTATAAAAAATATATATATATTTAAATTAGGTTGAAACATGTTTATTAAGGATATGATTGGATAAAATCCGAGTTTAACATAAAAAATTAATTCAACCTTACATAATAATATAATAACTTTTTATATGTTTACACATAGTTATAATAATACTTACATTTATATGCATTTTTAATTATATCTCTATTTTACCTAATAATATATATATATATATATATATATATATTTCAGGTTGAATGTGAATTTTTTTCTCATTT